AGAATGTGGAGAGGAGCCCACAGCCCCCAAGGGTTTGGCTTTTTTTTTTCCTGACTGACTGTGGGGTCATGGAGTATATGTGACTTTTAACTGGACGTGGTGCTTGGAGGGGAGATTGATGTCATATGAGAGCTGATGGGAATTTTCATTAGGTGCCTGGAAAAGAAAGAGAAGTTGTAATTAAGGAGAAAAGAGGAGGTGGCCATATGAGTAAGCATCCCTGATTTCACCATCTTCCACTTTGAACTACCACCATGAGGTCCTGTAATTGTTTCTAGGATAAAACACTTTAATGTACATCCTTTGATTGGAATGAAGAAATCAAAATAGGAATGTACTTATTGAGAGAAAGAAAGATGCCTGAGAGAGATAAGGGGTCCTAAGCAGGTTGCCAAACACTGTCCTTTCTAGGGACCTTTATTGAGTAAAATCATGTGGTGAAATGAGTTTAAGGTGGGGAAAACTAGGAACTCACAATGCAGATGGGCATAAGATGGGTCAGAGCTATGGTACCCAATAGGATTATTAAGTTCAGGTAAAGCTGATTAAATTGGGAACAAAGGGCGAAGGGAGTCACATAGAAAGCAGGCATTCTTAGGCAGCTGTGACTCTTCCCTTAGGGGTTTGGGAGAGTGATATCTGAGTTCCTCAGTATGATAGGAACTATTTAGGATGTCAGTCTTTAAGATAAGGATACATTTCTTTGAATGGTGACTCCTAACCTCCTCAGAGTGCTAGGGAACTATTTAGAATGTCTATCCTTAGAATATGGATGAATTTGCTTAACATTGTCTTGAGCCTTGGCCCATAGCATGAGGTGTCAGTCTTCCTCATAGTTGCAAGGTATCTGGTCTCCTGCATGGGCTCCTTGGAGGACCTAGCCTTGGTTAATGCCAAGAGTATTTAAGTAACTCTGATGCCTGTAACAGTACTTTTTGGAAAATTGATTAGTGATGTCTTGTGTTCTGGGTGAATGATCTGGGAATGACAATGTGCAATGTATATACCAGTGTTGCCCCCTGATTGACATGTTTTGAAATTCAATTTTAGTTGATGTGCTCTTTTTTCCTTGAAATAAAATGGATTTGAAAATTAAAAGCCTGAGGTAAAGCTCTTCAGTACAAACACTCCTCTGTGGAGCTGAGTTCACCACTGTAGAAGAATGGCAGCTCCAGAAGTGTCTGCACTACAGTCTATCATTTGGGATCCTCTCTTGCAGGGAGGGGTTCCTTTCCCTGTTTATTCTTGACTCAGAAGGAGAGCAGTAGAGCAGGAGTCAATCAGTGATGAAGGGGCAGGCTATATGAACTGTCCAATCAGGTGAGCCATTGCTGGCTGTGACTTCTGTCTCTTCCAGTGTCTCAGGATGATTTATCTGTTCTGAGTACAATACTGGTAGCAAAACGCTTGCTGGATCTCATTTAGTACTTTTGATGTCCTGTGGCCTGATTAGCAAAGAACTTGAGATATCCTGGAACCATGGAATAGTGAGGTTGTGGGTGGGAGCCCAGAAGTATGGTGGATTGGGTGAAACCAGATACAAGTATTTAGGAGTAGTCCCGGTGTCTGGAGCCCCAGGTATTTAGTTAGCTTCAGCCCCTGAGGTCCTCCAGCATTGGCCATGGTTCATTCAATGTCCCTTTTGCCTCTTGCTGTTGGCAAGGGTGATTTGGGGTCCCCAGTACCCTGGCTTCACTATGACAGCAGTAGACTCAAGTATCGTCTTTGAAATTCATTGCTAGCCTGGTAACTCCACCGTCTTAGGCACTGGAAGAAGCTTGGGAAGACTCTGACTAAGATAATTTGTAGCTTGTAGAGCAGTAATGAGCTAGGTCTATGATCCCTTTCCTCAACGTAGCAGATCTAGAATGTCCGGAGTTTATTAATGTCTGTAATGCAGGGCCTCATAGCCACAATGGCTCAACTTAAACTTGGGCTTTTTTGTATGTATAGTGATCCCCTCAATTTATAGTATGTACTCATATTTCCATCCTCATGACAGGTAGTGGCAAAGGTCCTGAGAATTTAGAGATGTGTAGTAGTGTGCCTCAGTGGAAAAAGGCTTCCCAAACAACTGGTGAACTCCTGTGTGTTATACAGATCAGTGCAAAATAATTTCTGAACATACTTAATTATTTAGGTGGCACCCTTGCTCACAGACTAGGTTTGTGAGAACAGCCATAGAGTTTTGAAATCTGAGAAAAATAAAGCAAATATGAAAGTGTTATCAAGGACAGGGTAAAATTTTGTGAAGCACAAATTCCAGAAAGGGCTATCTGTCAAATTCTCATCGAAAAATGCTTAAATTCAGGCATTTGCATGGACAAATACACGTGATATCCTTCTGAATGGATAGGAATAGGTGTGTCATCTCTGAATTAAGACCTGATTTAGTGGCTTGGTTGTTCATAGACAGTTTAAATATGGAAATGCTCTACAATGGAATTTACTAAGTGGTGTAAAGGAGAAGCTCTAAACAGAAATTTTGCAGTGATATCAATAGTTAGGCATGAAGGGTTTCCTGCTGAGGATGGGACCGAGGAGTGTGGAAAGGATGTGCAAGTGACTGACAGGATTCAGGAAGCCTATAGTAGGACATACAATAGAGAGCGTCTTCACTGAAATTCAGGTAGTTCTTAGAGTAAGTCTGAAGTTAAAGTTGAGTTCTGATTGCTTCATTGAGGTGATCAACACCAGCTCTGGCAACAATCAGTATTTCACATCCCTGTCAACCCATGAATTTTGTGTTCCATACTTAAGATCTAATTTGGATTATCTCTAATTGTGCCCCAGTGTCATGAAGGTAAAATTTGGATTTTTTTTTGTACCAAGGATTGAACTCATGACCTATGCTTTCCAGGCAGGCATTCATGCCACTGAGCTAAATACCCAACTATGAAAGTGTTTTCTTTGTTATATGGAAGAGATCCACATTGTTTCTCAACAAATGTTGAATATTGTTGGAATTTTTCCATATTGTATGGCTATAATTTTTAAAAACAAACCAAAGGTGTCTTATGCATTCTCTTTTCAAGTTTCACTTTGTTTGTGGGGTGTCTCAGTCAGGGTTTCTCTATTTTAGACAGCTCTGTAACTTAGGATAGCCCCAAATTAAAGGAAGAACTCCTTTATCAGCCTCCCAAGATACAGTCCTTATATCTGAATTGAAAGTGATCGCTTGGTGACAGTGAGCTATAAATTACAGTTTGGGCCTGGTTTCATTTTATGTACTTATTTTTTTAAAAACAGCATTTTCCACTAACATTTGAGGTATTATTTGTGTACCATATTGGATATTATTTATGTTTCATATTTCAAAATGCTGCTGAAGTATATTAAGAACAAAGTACACACTGGCCTAAATGAGATTTGAAGAGACATTATCTGTAGCCTATCAAAGTGATTGATGAGAGTTTTTTTTCTTTTTTTAAATTTTGAAAGTGGTAAAATACAACACAACAAGGCAGAATAAGGCCAACTAAGATCATAAAGTGAAACTGGTACACAACTTCACAACAGGTTACTTGGGATAACAGTAATAGGTATCACAGTATATTTTATTATCTTTATAAAAGATGTTCTTTCAAGCACGTATATCAAAATGAGATGAAATACAGAACATTATAGTACTTATCAAAACAGAATATTCAATAGAGCAATACAATTAATCAGAATAGAGCAAAAACAGTAATAAAAATATTTGCCTTCAAAGAGATAGTAGAAGGAAGTCCCCCTTATTTGTTAAGGTCTGCTTCCCAGGAGACCCTCAGATTTCTGGTTCCCATTTGCTGATGGGGGGGTGACAGGAGAAGAGGGGTAGGGGAAGAGGGATGTTTGATTCTAGGCTGTGCATCAGTAGGTTCACTATTGCTTAGTAGGGAGATAGGCTGGTTGTTTGGTTTCACAGAATCCTAAGTTCCCACAAGGCGCGGATCTCAGGAGCTGCAGCTGGTTCTCCCCCTGGAAGGGCCGCATTCTGCCAGACCACCACTGCTTACCATGGAGAAGTGGTGCTTGTTTACCTTCCAAGTGTCCTAAATTCCAGCATGGCATGGATCTCAGGAGCTGCTGCTGGTTTGCCCCTGGGATGGGCCACAGTCTGCCACATCACCACCACTTACCAGGGAAGGGAGGTGCTTGCTTGGCTTCCCAGTTGAATGATGGGATATTTATCTGCCTCTGTGCTTTGTGGATGCTGGTCCTGCAGGCTTCTCACTGTGAGCTCTGCACTAGAGACAGAACACAGGGAATATTGCAGTGACTCAGCACAAGAATCAGTGCTCCTATTTCACTGTTATATTAGCAGTGAGTTGAAATCTATCATCAAATTTGCTGTCTTCAAAAATGTGTATATACACAAAATTAATGACCAAGACATGGATTTAAATTTGAAGAAATCAGTCTTCATTCAGCTGTTTTGTTTGGTTTTATTAGTTTAGTTTTGCTTTGTTTTATTGAGACAACCTTTCGGTGTATATCAGGTGGATTTGAACACCCTATGGAGCCTAGAATTGCCCTGACCTCACTGATGCCTTCCTGTCTCCGCCTTTTGAGTGCTGGGATTACAGATATGCACCACAACACTTTGCTTTTGATACAGATTTGTAGGAGAGAATTTTAAGATATCCCAAACCTGGGGTCTCAACCTTCCTTTGAGAAATATATGTATGATTCTTTAGGAAGCGGTGACCTTTGAGGTTGTAGTTGTGAACTTCAGCAATGAGGAGTGGACTTTGCTGAGTCCATCCCAAAAGAACCTCTACAGAAATGTGATGGGTGAAACCTTTAGAAACATGGCTGAAATAGGTAAGGATGAAATCTTTTTGGCATTCATGCTGTCAGAATATTGTTTGTTGCACATCAGTGCTGTTTCATTAAAAAGAATGAGAAAATATTTTTAAAAATAGCTCAGACCTGGACACATTATATCATAAATCTAAACAAAATATTTTAATTTGTATGTATTATTCTAATGAGTCCTGGTATTTCTATCTTTACAGTTCAGGAGGACTTGGGGATATCCAGGAAGCTGAAAAAGAATGCAAAATTTACGGGAGATACTTAAGGTAATTTGCACTCACAAGGAGAAGGAATGTTCCTGAGTAATTAGTGAGTCAGCAGAAAAATGACCACCAAACAAATGAGGCACCATTCAATTTATTGTCAGTAATATTCTCCGAAGACGTAGAAGCTAGATTATGTATAATGAGTGAATTAAATCATGAAAATATATGACATTGCATATAGATGTGTATGAAAGGCATACACTTTGAGTTATGACATTCTCCCTTCAGTTTTTCTACCCATATATGCATGTGAATACAACACATTCATTATCTAAAGATTTCTACAATTGCAATAGAATTTGAAATAAAATGTAGTGCTTGTGTTTCCAAGCCATGCTCTAAGGAATCAGCCATTCTGAGTAAACTTCTTAGAAGGCTGGTGGAATGTTATGTACACTCATTCTGAATATCAGTGTGGAGTTGTCTCTAGAAATTGATCCCCTCATACTTGTCCTGCATATATTTTTAAAAATTCAAAATCCACATAAAATACTGATACATGCTTACTCATATACAAAGCAGATCAAGTTATAATAGATCAGGCCTTGAAGAAGTTTAGCTATCTATCACTGGATTTGTGGAGAAGGAAAATGTTAATAGATTCTCTGTGATTGTGCATTCTTGTAAATCCAACACACTAGGAATCAGATTTTGCAGAATGGCAAATTCAAGTTCAAACTTCACAGCTTAATAATCAGTGAAAATCTCTTAAAACAGATTTAAAAAGCTCTAGATTTTATGCTAATAGCTGTTGTTCATTCCCAGCATGGAAAAGAAAAAAAAATGTGTTATATAAGGTCAAAAAATAAAGAATATAACGTCATTTGCCATAAGAAATAGGTGGTTCTTTCTCCCATCAATTCAGTGAAATAGCTTAGCTATAAAACCTAAAAGGTCACAGGGTTTCTTTTAGATGAGAACCCAAAATATAAATTGTGGAATGAAATGAAAGAGAGTTAATAGAGAAAAGTAAGACTGACAATATGGAAATGGGAACTACAGGTTAAGGACAGAAGGGAGATTGTGATGGGGAAACATATCAGAATGATCTGTATGTGATACACATATGTACCCATGCCCAAAGTGAAGCTAAAGATTCTACATTTCAAAAGGTACCAAATTGTAAGATTTCCAAATGTGTACCATTCTTTTGGGAATGGTTGTTTTCAACATGTCGTACAAGGCCATTCTGTTACTTCATGGTCAGAATTTCTTAGCAGGCATTAAAAACAGAACTTGACATTAATGCAGTCATTAAACTGAGACCCATTTCACTGTGAATTTTTCTTTTTTTTTTATTTAATGTAAGGAAAGACAAAAAAAACACAAAATAAGTAGAAATAATACCCCTTTCAAAGTGAAAATAAACAGTAAGAAATCTAAAGAAAGTGATTACGTATGCTGCTCATAGGAATAGTTAATGAAACAGAAAAGTGAAACATATGAAGTGGGGATTCAAACAGCGAGACTGCAAACAGTTTTGTTCCACTCTCCCATAAAAACTTAGTAATATGGTTATCAATCCTATATGTGAGTTTTTGTTTTTGTTTTTGTTTTTTTTTTTTTTTTACAGAAATGAAAAGCTAGGGGAATCCTAGGGACATACATCTTGGAATCAGTGTAAAGAAGTATTCCCTTGTACTGCAGAAGGTAATGTGAATGTGAAAGAAGCAGAAACACACCACTATGTTCAGATCCATGGAAAATATTGCAGTGGAGGGAAACCCTATGTATGTCAGCAATGTGGAAAAGGGTTCACCAAATCTGGACATTGTAAGCAACATGAAAGAATTCACACTGGAGAGAAATCATATATATGTAAGCAATAAGGGAAAGCTTTTAACACACAAGGAGTTTTTAAGAATCATGAAAGAATTCAAACAGGAGAGAAACCATATGTTATTTCAAGGAAAAAGTACTTAAATGTGAAATTACTGGATCATATGGCTGGTGTATGGATAACATAGAAATTCTTAAAGGATCTTTGGAAGCAGATGTTTAAAAAAGAGTTAGGTGGTTGCTTCTTGTTTTGTGTTTTTATGGCATACTATGCTCTGCTATGCTATGTTACATTATGTTATATGTCGGTGAGGATTTGGAAATTCCTTCAGTGTGTTTTCAGTGCTTTCTGATTTCATTTTTTATGACCAAACTTATTAACTATAAGAATATCAGATAACTCTAACTAGTTTTGTTTTGGAGAAAATTTAAAAAGAAAAACACAGTCAAGCAGGTTGGTGCACACATGTCATTCCAGTATTCAGAAGGCTGAGGCAAGAGGCTTGTTTTGGGGGGTCATCCAGAGCTACATTGTAATATCAAGGGCAGGCTGACCTGTGTAGCAAAGCCCTGTTGAAAGAAAGAAAAAGAGGAAGAAAGATAAAGAGAGAGACAGAGAGAGAGAGAGAGAGAGAGAGAGAGAGAGAGAGTGAAAGAAAAAATAAGGTAAAATTGAAAAGTCAAAAATCAGCTGTCAATTTAGAAATCAAATCTTTGTGAGGGTCTCATGCATATGTACTTTAGTCAGCACACCTGGCATAAGGCCTACCATCATGTAGACATTGATCTACTGCCTGGTCTTTGCATTGTTACATTTTTTAAAAACTTGTTACTGGGATGCCTCCAGATAAGCTATTGAATATACCTTCTTAGGATTTTGGTAGCTCAGTATTAAGAGAATTTGATCATTCTGTTGTTTTTTGCCCTCAAATTATATTTAGAACAAGAATTTGTTTAAGAGGTTGCCATTATTTTGAAAGAGTAAGAAGAACCATATAACTCTTTTTAAGTCTACAAAAATGGAAAAGTAATTACAGACTAATAGGGGTTAATGAACCTTGCACAGTGATATCTGGGATATCTTAGTGATGGATATTTTCACACATTTGTAAAATTTTGTATTCTTTTTTTTTTTTTTTTTTTTACAAATTTTAGTGCATGGTTTCACTAATTTTCTAAATTTCCCAGGCTGGGCTTAAACCTTTCCTCACCCTTCTTCACACTCCCAGAGAGCTGGGATTCCAGGTGTACATTATCCTTAGTTGGCAATTTTTCACAATGTTGGGTTTTCATGGAATAAAATATTCGGCTTTGATCTTTTGACACTTCGTTGAAAGAGTTGATCTAGTTAAGCTCTCTACCACCTTCCTCACCTGCAGTTTGTTTCACAGTGACTAGGACTCAAAATACCTTTAACTCTCTTGCTAGATTGTCTCCTTTTTGACTGTGGTCAGCATGCACTTCAGAAGATCACCCCGAATGCCTTCTGCACTGGGACTGAGGCTTGGTATCCTGAAGCACATTCTCTTTTTCCTTGACAATTCATGGAGTCTGATGATTCTTTGAAATGAAATCCTAAGAAAGGTGTGAAGGTTGAAGGTACTTGGGACACACTGCCCTACAGAAGGCCAGGCCAGTGTAAAATGTCATTTACCGTCCTGGTCTATGCTCCAAGGATTTGCATTTGTTTATGTTTTTTTTTTTCATTGTTGTTGTTTTTGTTTCTGTTTTTTGTTCCATTTCTAGAAATTGAATATAGAGCTTTTCACTTGGATTCTTTGACTTCCCCCCTTAAAACTCTTCTTGTTTTGAGCCAGATTCTTAAAGAGTGGCTAAAATTCTGGGGCTCTCCTTGAATTTGTCATGTTCCTGCCTCAGCCATCCAGAGTGGTAGGATTACAAGCCACACCACCAGACCTGGTCTCATAATAGTGTTGTTAAAAACTCATTGTCTGAGCAAGGAATGATGAAAATGCCTACAATGCCTGCGCTCTGGAGGCTGAGGCAACAGAATTCCTGGGAGTTCCAGAGAAGCCTGCAACAGACTGGGAATTCACACAGGCCAGGGTGACACTGGAACACCCTGAACAGAAAAAGAAAAACAAAAGAATAGGAAAGGACAGGAAAGGAAAGAAGAAAGGAAACAAGATTCCTGGTGACTGTATGAGTTAGTTTGTCTCTGGGCTGGTCCTTTTAATCTGTAGTCCTTTTCTTTCAGTACAAGACCCTTTTGACAGCTGTTCCTTTATAATATAACTGAAAACCAGGTATTTTGGTGCCTCTATCTCTGATGTTGTTTCCAGGGCTAGAGGATGACTCTGTAATTACTTGTGAATTTACATATTGTTTTTTCTATTTCTAGGAAAATATTGACATTTTGCCAGGAATGCATTGAAAGAGCTGGTTGCTCTGGGCAGCACGTACATTGTAACAACATGAATTCTTCCCATCCACCATCAAGGTATGTCTTTTCTTCTGTTAGTGCCACTTCACTCATTTCATCAATTTCTACAATTTTTAAAAAGCAGGTGAGTTTGTTGAAATTTTACCTAAGCATTCATTCTTTTCAATTAATTATGAATTGAATTGTATTCCTTGTTTGGGGATGCAGTTTGTTTGAAGCACATAAAAACAAATGGATTAGGACATGTTGGATCTTATGCTCTGCAAGTTAAGTGAATTTTTCTAAAAGGTTTCAGTGGAGTTTTAAGATTCTAATACCAAGGATGTGGCCTGAGGTATCACAATCCTTAATTCTTCTTTTCTGATTTGGAAACCTTTAATTTCTTATTTTTGGCTATAAAAGGGCTACTACTTTAAGAACTAGTTGAAAGATTGTGACTTTTCAGGCTCTGAGCAGGGTGTCAGGGATGGGCTTGTCATTCAAAATATTGTCATGCTGTGCTGAGGTCCTTTCCTCCTACACATGGTGTGTGAATGGTTATTATCATGACAGAATGGTTAAATTTTGAAAGTTTGAAAGCTGTTTTTCTAAATCTATTGAGGGGTTAGCTTTCTCAGTGGCAAGTGACACTGAATGGTTTGTGGAAGTGGGACCATTCTTGCACCACTGAGATTGAGACCAGTGTTGATCACAGTGCTTAACTTTTGAATGTGCTGGTGAATTTAGATGGTGAACATTATCTGAATACATAGGAATTGTGGTCAATGGGGTGTTGTCAATTTTTTAATTTTTATTTTATTTTTCTCTCACATTATTGTTTGGACTTTTTCTCAGGGTAACTTTTTCAGCTAAAAGAATTAGATGGTGGTTCTTTCTTTTCAATGTCCTGGAAAAATTGAAAGATGATCAGTATGTATTCATTATTAAACACTTAATACAATTCACCAGGGCATTTATCCTATCCTGGCTTTCATTGTTGTTATTAAGGAGTTTTGATTGTTGATTCATTGCCTGTGTTTATTATTGCTCTGTGGCTCAGTGTGTTTGCTCCTGATGCTTGTGGGTCAGTGACACCAAAGGACACCCCATATACATCAAAGGTCACCTCTCATTTTACTTCAGGATGTCTCCATTTAGTTTTGTATCTTCAAATTATCCCTACAGAATGTATTTTTGTGGGTAACGCCTTTCAGTTACTTAGTCTTTTAATGCACACACTTATGGGGTGTGGTTACGGCTCTGGGATAGTGGAGCTGATCAGGGCCCGGTGACTTATTTCAGGCTTAGTACCATGAACTGCATGCAGTGTCCCCATCTCCTGACCTGTACTCTGTAAACCTTGTCTGGCTCCACAGCTGTGGTGAATCCAAATGCAACAGTTGAGAACCCGGCCTGGACAGAAGACATTCATGTAGGGTGGGCTCTGTAACAGGCTGACCTTCTCTTACAGAGCTCCCCTGAATGAGACAGGGTGCCTCAGGCCTGCAAAGAGGAGCTCCGGCAGCAAGGCCATTCCAGCCCTCTCCTGTCCAGTGTGTAGTGTGTGCTGCTTTGCTGAGAAGGTTACTTGTGGATCAGGAGGCCTGGACCTGGGCCTTTTCTAGGCATGTTTCCCTGTTAGATGCCATGTTCTTCTCCACCTCTGCCTGCTCCATCTTCCTCTGACCTCAGATCTCCATTAGAGACCTGAGCAGCCCCGGGATTCCCCTTCCAGGCTGCAACTCTTTATGGAGACTTCAGGTGTTAAATCTGTGACTGTGAAATTCCACTTGCAGACATTTAACCTGGAAATTCCATTTTTAAGTCTTCATTATAAAAAATTAGATTTACAGACACCGTATTCTCTTTTTACTGTTATGGGTGTGAAAAGGTAGAAATCATGAATGTACTGTAGCAGAGCTGCTCAGTGAATTATAAAATTACAGCCACTGAAAATGCTGAAAGAAAGCCGTGTCCAAGGCCATGTCCGTGGTGTCACATGAGATGGCCACAAGCTTGTGGCCTGGCACTCTGTCCACCTAGCAGTACAGAAACACAGGCCCACACAGCAGCTGAGGAGTGGAGAGAGGAGCTCCTGGTGGGCAGACCATGATCCTGGGAGGGAAGCCTTTGTTTTTCCATTTTCCATTTGCATTGCATTATTGATAGTGCTTCATTCAGTATTTCTTCTCATATACTCAACTTCGGAAAAATACATAATGCTTCATTTCTTGAATAGATGAGAGAAACTGCATGATTTAATTTTCATTTATGTATAATGAAGGATATGCACTGTGTAGAAAATTGAAACATCACCTTATAGTATATAAAGTAAACAGTCTTGGTACTTAGACAGCCAACACACTGTTTATGACTCACTTTTAAATATTAACACATGAGGCCATGCAGAGCCCCTCTTAGAAGCCATCATGCTCATCTGTTCCAGTGATTCTCAGACATCAACAAGTTTCTCTTTAGAGTGTTTTCCCAGCCAGGATGATCTGAATCTTCTACTCCCAGACAGTACAGGGAGGGTGCAGTGGGCAGGGGACCCTGGCACCACCTGCCTCACACCCCTTTCCTCCAATGCATCCATGCTGCATCCCTGCAGGCACAGGAGACACAGCATCCAGGATGCAGAAAAGACACTGCCTTCTCATTCTCCATGCCTGTGTCCTGGCCTCAGCCTCCACCAGTTGCCTGATACTGCCCTGGGTGGGGCTGCCACAGTGGGTCTGACACACCCTCACCCTATTAGGCCATGTCCATTTTCCACAGTGACCCTTTCATTCTGTAAATTTTGATTCTCTCTTTTCTGAGGCTGCAGCACTGGAAGGAAACACAACATTAGCATTACCTTTTCTTTTTCTTCGTTCTTGTTTTCTTTTTAAGGGGTTTCTTGTTTTATTAAGCACATATTTAAAACTGCATTTTGCCAAAAAACTTTTCTTCTCTTTTTACTGCCTAGGTACCACAGTATTTACAGATTTGTACTGAAGTTCAGAACCTAGGTGCTTGGATTGTCAGAATCCACTCTGCAGCTTGGTAGCATGAGGGAAGCTATGCAGGAAATAAGCCTGGGGACATTTCTTTGCCTTTGAGCATCTCTTACAGCAAACCATGGCTTATGTCTTTTTACCCTCTTGATACGTGCTTCAGTAGCAACTGAGTCTGCCAGGACAAATGAGTTTCCTACATTTATTTCAGTTAATCTCATTTCCCCTCAACATACTAAGCACATTGTCTAAGGTTTATTATACCTAAACTTGAAAAATGATATCCAGTAGACAAGAGACGGCCACTGTTCCTGAAACCATGATGGGAGTTTCTGTAAATACGTAGTCTGATCCATACCATGGCATCCACAAGCTAGAGAGGTGGGAATGGCTGGTGCAGATACCAAACACCTCAAAATTGTCAAGCAGCAGCAGCAAGAAGCAGGGACCAGAGCTGCTGAAACCTCACACTTGGGTGATGTGATGATGTGGTGAGTTTTGCCCTGGGTTTACTGAGATGGCTCAGTACTTAGTTTTGTATTCCATAGTACTGATGTTATGTTTCATTAAATATGTAACTATAATAATTTCTTAAATATTTTGTATTGTGTACTGCTTTTTGGCCTGGCTTTCCTTGGCCTCTCAGGTTTATTTTTGCTCTCTGTAACAGGCAAAAGATAGGATCAGAGCTCTCTCTCAGTGGTTCTGTGAAGATTAGAGCCCAGAGTTCCTCAGAGTGGGTGTCAGGAGGACCTGCAGGGATGCCTGAAGGCTTGGGACCAAGGCTGGGGTCATCAGTGACTTCCTCTTCACTTATGTGCTGCTGCTTCTGTCACCTGTTTTTGTTGTTTGTTTTTGATACATGAACCTTCCTTTACACTCAAAATTTTATTTTTGACAAGTTAATCCTGAGCACATGGATCTTAACTCAGTACAAATGAGCCAGCAGTGTGACAGGAGAATGTTGGCTCAGGGAATGACCAGTGAGGGGCAACTGAGGAACAAAGTTCTTAGCACTTGCACATCTTTGTGGAAGTGAGCAGTGCATTGGTTAAGGATAAGTTTTCCTTGATAAAGGAGCAAGATGGGCCAGGATACCAGGTGTATAGATCAGGTGCCTTAGTTATTTTTCTTATCAGGGGACAAAACACCTGCCACCCACAGCTTAAAGGAGGAGAGGTTAATTCTGGCTAACAGTTTAAAAGTTTCATTCCCTGTTTGCAGGCTCAAACATAGAAACCACTTGGTGGTCTTGGGAGAGGAAAGCTGCTCACTTTAAGTCATGAAGGAAGCAAAGAGCAATGGGAGGAGCCAGGAAGGGAGAAATCCCCACACCCCAGGAACCAGCCGCTTTTGAGTAGACAGGGTCTCCTAACAGTAAGTCAGTTCTACAGGTCCCCATTCAACATCTCCATAAAGCCCCACCCCGTGTGCATGAGGCTTTGGAGGGGCTGCTACCTCAGCTAATAAACCAGCACACCAGAGGTCAACTTTGTATCTTCTGTGCCAAACAGTAAATACTATGGGCTAGAGAGGCCACAAGATTTCTTACAACTTTTCACCTCTGCCACTGTACTGAATAAAGCACCTACAGGACAGTGCATATGTGCAAAGACATACACAAACATAGTTTTGGATGTCAAAATTTTAATGTCATCCAACTGTCATCTAGTACGAAATATTAAACTTTTATCCATTTAGAAGTTTGCAATGTTGAGCATGGTGGCACCTGCTGGGTGCGATGGCACACATCTCTAATCGGAACATTCATTAGTGTGAGGCAAGAGGTCACTGCAAGTTCGAGGCTAGCCTGGGCTACATAGTGAGACTCTGTGCCTAAAACAAATACAAAATGTACAAGCCATTCTTACTAGTAGACCATACAACAGCAGGCATTGGGCCAGACCTGGCATCTGGGCAGTAATTTATCAGCACAGTCTCATAAAAGAGAGATGTGTGGGATGCAGAGGACAGAGATCCATCCCTCAAAGTCCATGAAACAAACATTTGTGCCCCACCTGTGGTCTCCAGTGGTTCCAGTTAACTCAGAAGTTAAAAGCAGAATCACAGCAAAATTTTTGC